CAGGCTATGTTATGTAACAAGAAATAATGAACTCCCCACCATTTTATTTTCAACTTAAAATATCAGCCATTACCATTATCACTGCCATATAACCACATTTTGTTTTTTGGATTTTTGAGACAGAGTTTCTCTGTGTAACCACCTTAGCTGTCCTGGAACTCACTCTTTAGACCAGGCTGGCCTTGAACTCACAGAGATCTGCCTGCCTCTGCCTTCAGAGCACTTGGATTAAAGGCATGTTCCACCATCACCTCTCGTTACCATATAATCGTGATGCAGAAAATATATGTAAATATATAGTATCACATCTCTTTACATCACACTTTCTAATGCATATTGAACTGTGCAACTATGAGTCTTAGTCCCCAGTGTTTTTAATTTAGGCAACTGGATACAGTTTTTGAGAAAGGCCATGTAGACAACTTTTGATCTTCCTGCTCCCGCCTCCCAAATGCTGATATTACAGGCATGCACCACCAGACACAGGACCAGATATATTTTTGTTTCCTTTTTCTTTCTTCCCAGAATTCTGGCATGTGATAACTACATTAATAAGGCTCCTTGGCCCCCAGAATTCAGTTTAGTGCATCCAGCCTGGGTAAAAAGCCATATAAAGAAAGTTAAATTTTAGCTTACAATTACTGGGCTTTTAAATGTCCTTAGGTTCCTTCTTTCTCTCAACTAAAGATCTCCATAACTCACTAGAAAACATACCTTATATGATCTGTCATCTACTTGCTCTGATTTCTTCATCTATTCCTTGTGGCTTCTTTATACCTATTCTACAGTAAGTCATTTTGAAAATTTACCCTATTCAAATAGTCTCCAGTGAAATACCTTATTTGTATCATTTGAGAGCTGTACTGACTCAGCAAACTGCAAAACCTCGATATAACATTCATTTGGTAATTATTTACTAGTTGGGAATGTGCCTGTTGAACCTTTAGTGAACTATTACTGATAGTCGATCATTTTTACCCAGAAAAGTATACTTACATGGTGGTTACACTTAACATTATTTATGTATCTAGTTCTAATTTGTTGATGACCAAAATATTAAATCAGAAAATTGAAGTAGTGAACTGTATTTGTTACTTGAATATGAACTTTTTTCTGTAGCTTTGCCTGAAAAATATAGCCGTAAAAGTGTTGTATAAAACTATTCCAGGCAGACATGAATAAACATCTACTGACTTCATATAAGGAACTGAAATCAAACCAAAGTATGGATATCACCCAAGTCTAACTTGATGAGCTAATGAATTTTATGGAAGTTACTTACAAAGTGACATCACCAAAAGCCCATCCCAGTGTGGGTGACAGTTCATAAAAGCTGGAAACTTGGAGTGAACTCCTCAACCTGCAGGTAACTGAACAGGTTAGGTATTGTCCTGTCCAGGTACTTCAATTTGCCTGAGCCTTTTCCAGCCAGTTCAGCTAGTCTTTGGTTCTTCCAGACATTTTCACTTGTCTAAGAGTGTCTCCAAGCAGTCTATAGACTGAAGAAGCTGATATCCAACAAATTATCAGAGAACTGTGCTCAAGACTTGACTTTACTATTAACTTAGAATATTTTTTTCTTTTTGGCCTTAATCAGTTTGATTATAAAAGGTAAGATTAAATCAGGTGTTGTAGTATGTAGGTTTTTCAACAGCTGCCCTACTAAAGCTCTAGGATCTGGTATTCCTGACTATATTGTTAGCTCCTAGAAAACACTAACTGTCTTCCCAAAGTATTCCTTACATTACAATGATCTGGAGCTTCTGATCAAACACAAATTGTTAGGCAGTGTCTTCTGAGTTCCCATATTAAAACCTTCTGTAAAGCACACAATCTGACTTGCAAACAGCAAACAGTGAAAATTAATGATATTAACATTTGATTTGAATTAAGCACTAGTCAATAGACCATTGTTGATCATCAAAGCTTCTAGAATATCCAGCATAGGAGATTTAATTAAATAAATGACACAGTGATACAGAAAATAGATAATTAAGAGGATACGAAAACAAAAGAATTCAATGGCTCTTTTAAGTATGAGAACTGTCAAAATACAGCATATATTTTAGATTGAGTTAGTTCACAGCTGACCTGACAAGGGTTAGCTCTTGAATTCCAGACAGATGGCTGGGAATCCAGCATGGGACTGATCAAGAACCCCTGAATGTGGGTGTCAGTGAGGAGGCCTAGGCAATCTATGGGGCCTTGGATAGTAGATCAGTATTTATCCCTGGTATACGAATGGACTTTGGGTGCCCATCCAACAACGAGAGACACACTCTCACCCTGGATTCTTGGGGGAGGGTCTAGGCCCCGGCCTGGATGAAATAACAGACTATGGATACCTCCATGGAGTGCCCCACCCTCCCTGGGGAAATGAGGGGGTATTGGGGGCATTGGTGGGAGGGCGTGGGAGGAGGTAAGGGGAAGGGAGAGGGACCTGGGATTGACATGTGAAGCAGCCTTGTTTCTAATTTAAATTTAAATTTAAAAATAAAAATTAAAAAATTGAGTCAATTCATTTATTTATAGTAAATGTGAAGAGTGCCAAACTTAATATCCAGAGTCAAATCTTTAGTAATCTCATCCATACAAAACATGAATTATTTTTAACTTGAAAGAGAATAAATAAGAAAAGGTCTCTAATTCAAGAGATATGCAGTAAATTTGCACTTGCTGTAAAACCAAACACTTTACTCTGCTGTTTCAAGATTTCTTTTCCTCCTGTTTAACATAATAGCTAAAATTCTTGAATATTGTTTTTCCAAGCTCAAGCAGGATGTTAGAAAACAATGTAAACAGGAAAGGTGACAAACTAAGCATAAAAATAAAAAGCAGCTGTAGAAGAAATATAATGTTATTTCTGAGAACAAAATTTTACCAAGAAAATGAACTAGTCTGTTTAAAATCTTTAAGATGAAAGGAAAATAGGTAATGCATTTTTGAAACTTGATCTTCTAAGTGAAAGTGTAAAAGCTTCAAGGCTCTAAGAGGTAAGGTTTATTTTTTCCTTTATAATATCTACCTTATTGAGAATACCTATCGTAGCTCAGGGAAATCAAATTCAAGACATTAATAGACAGAATTGGTTTTATTTTCCACATTGGGACCATGAATATACCAAAATACCAAGAATACACGTCCAGTCCTTTATCCCTCAACCCCAGAGATTACTGTAAAATGCTGATAAAAGAGACAGAATATATTAGAATAATCATCTTCACAATAGAACAAATTCTATTTTGAAGAATACTGGACAAATAGTCAAATGTAAAAAAAATTAGAGGGGCAATATCAAGGAATAAAATAGCTGTAACTCAGCATCAGAAATATAAATATTTATATGTGGGATCCAGATTTTTAAAAAGATACATGAAAACAAAAGAGATTCCATACATGAAGAGTAAAGAACTGGTAAGAAGAAATGTAAAAGAGTAAGAGAGGGCAATGGAGGTGAGTATAAGGAAAATATATACATGACTAATAATGTCATAAATAATACCTTTAAATATATGCTAATAAAAATGTAAAGTAAAAAAAACAAAAAAATCATTATTTAAATAATTGTTTCCAATAAAACAATATTATGATAATACTAAGGTATTCTAAGCCTAAGAGAGTCATGTCTAACAGTGATAGTCCACAGATAAGAGTTTGGTGTGTATCAGGAAACATCAGGAAAAAAGGAATATAAGATTGTAAGATCCCAAATACTAGGAAGTCTGTTGAGAAACAGTCTACCCTAGAAATGGCTATATAAACAAGACCAAAATAGCAGTGTCAATGGACATGATAATTCAGGAGAGGGGAATCTCAGAGGGTCATATTCCTGAGCAAAATACTACGAGGTAACTGAAGATTGCTGGGAGAGAGAGAGTTAGCCTCCCCCAGGAATGATTCCTCTAATTAGGTATCCAATACAAAAAGGTTAGGACTGAAGCCATATACAAACAAACAATAAAAATAGACTAAGCAGGATTATTTAAATGCTAGTACACACACACACACACACACACACACATACACATACACACACACACACACACACATACACACGCAATAGGGAATAATAGACTGTCAACTTGAGAGAGGGATATAAAAGGAGTTGGAGTGAAGGAACTTGAGAAAGACTGGAAAGGAGAAAGTGATAAAATTAGATTTTAATTAAAACATTTTAAAATGAAAATAAAACAAACATTTTATATAACTAGGAGTAAATTAATAAACCTGAAAAAGGAAGGTAAAGAATGTCAACAAGGTGAGTAAAGGCCTTATAACTGTTTATCAGTTCTGATTTTACACTCAAGAAAAAAGTGGAATTAAATTCTTTAAATATATATTTAATACACACTGTAGAAAAATAACTACACAACAGAAATGAATAGAAGCAAAATTTTAGGCAATGAGCTAACTAAAAGCTTTTGCTGGGGTCCAAGTGGAAAACAGTATTGAAGTAAACTGGACTAGTAGAAGGAAAGTAAAATAATCCGAGAAACAATGAGGGGAAAAATGGCAAATTTTGGTAACTGCTACAATTGGCAAAGATGACTATAATTTCCTGGCTTAAAGCACTGGGTACATGTACTTACATATGAAAAGCAGGAAAGGGATGTTTTATTGTGTTTGCTCTTAGGGAAAGAGTGAGAGGTGGAGGAGATATTTTAGATTAACTAATTTTGAGATGTTTGTGGAATACATAAGTAAATGTGTCAAACAGAAATGTGGATATAGATATAAAAGAAATCAGATATCAAAAGTAAAATGTAACCCTTTGGCATTTATGTTAGGTAGTAACTTTACTATATCCCTTTTAATTTACCTCTTTCTGTATCAAATTTCTTTCAATGGTAGCAATAACAGTCTGATCTGACGATTTGTTTTCCGGATTCAAAGAAACATATAAACTCTAGAGATCAGAGGTTTTTTAGCCTTCTATGCAGAAATTTGGAAGAAAGCATTCATAGTATTCATATTTTCTTCTGAGGGTTAAGTTTTCTTACCCGCCAATATCTTGCTTCACAAAGTCCCCAGGTTCTTGTCGTCTTGATTCCCCTTGGCTGGTGGTTCCAGGAAGAATACTAATCAGAAAAAGAAGTCCAACTCTTGTCACATAGAAATGTCGCATTTGTGTGATTCTCATCTTAGACAGAAACTTGGAGAGACCTGTAAGATCCACGGTACAGGGGAAAGGGACCAACAAAAGGATAGAAAACAAAGGCAAAGGAGAGGGTTAGAAAGATTTAAAATTACTTTCTCTAGTATCCAGCCAGTTACTTGACATTCCCAAGCTGATCAAGGTCAAAAATATTTGTTCCCAATACATGTTTTTTTAAATACCAGAATATTCCCAACAAAGAGCAAAAGTAGAACAAAGCTCCTCTAGGTCAGTCACCGAGAAACTGAAGTTACTGCTACACCTCTCTCCTTGGCCTCCTGCATGACTAGGTGAGCTGTTGAACTTCCTAAACCTGTTCCTCTTGTAATATAAAAGCTTAAAATAATCTCCCATGGGGATAGAGAGATGGGTTGGTGCTTAAGGCTCTTCCAGAAGACCCATCTTCTATCCCCAGTACTCACAGGGTGGCTCACAACTATCTATACCTCCAGTTACAGGGAATCTAACACCCTCTTCTGGCTTCTGTGGGCACCAGGCATACTTGCAGTACACAGGTATACATATAGTCAAAACATCCATACCATAAAATAAAAATAATTTTAAAGATACTCTCTCATGTCTCTATTCTATGCCCCTGAATCACTTGTTTGATCTTTCACATTACAGAGGACTTTGTTTTAGTTAACTATATAACACTGAAAAAAATGTAATATTAGGACCTGAAATCTCTTCATAGCATTATGAAGATTGTTTCTTATCTTGCTAGAGTTAAACAGTTTTCCAAAATTTTTAAAAGCTTGAGTAAACAGACGAGTTACCCAGATTGAAATACTGCTGAGTGGTATAATATAATGGATCTTGAATAAGAATACATTTCCCTATAAAAAGTTAGTCAAGAATAAGGCTGACTCCTTCAAGAAGTGCTTACAACATAAAAGAGAAATCTAAGCTTAGCTGCACAGCATAGACTTTCTTTTTTTTATATTTTATGTATTTGTATTTTTAAATTTAAATTAGAAACAAGGTTGCTTCACATGTCAATTCCAGGTCCCTCTCCCTTTCCCTCCCCTCCTCCCATGCCCTCCCACCCCCCCCAATATCCCCTCATTTCCCCAGGTAGGGTGAGGCCCTCCATGGGGGTGTCCATAGTCTGTCATTTCATCCAGGGCAGGGCCTAGACCCTCCCCGAAGGGTCCAGGGTGAGAGTTCATCTCTCATTGTTGGATGGGAGCCCAAAGTGCATTTCTATACCCGGGATAAACACTTATCTACTACCCAAGGCTCAATAGATTACTTAGGCCTCAGCATAGACTTTCTTAAAGTACCAAATTATACCAATGATAAAATTAGTGATTTGGATTATATACAGAGGATAAGCATTTTTTTCATGATCTCTATATTATAAAAGATTTATATAAGATGTGAGGTTAAGAGAATAACCAATGAAGTCATACTTACTTATTACTTCTAAACTCTTATTTTTTTTAAATTTGAAACACTAAGTATTCCATGCCAAAACTAATCTTTTTAAGTCATATCAGTACATTAACTTTCAGAGGCAGTGCAGGTACATGAAACATTTTTCAAGAAAGTTTTAAGTAAAAGACCAATCCATAAAACATACCCCATATGGATAAGTACTCTGACTGATTAAATGAATAAACCCCCTTTTAAATGTGCTCTGTTCTTTAAAGAGAGCCATTAGGTTCTATTCTAGGCTGTCTTTATGGATCTGGTAGAGTTATATGAAGAATCATAATGCTGAGTAATGTGAACTTCTGATATAATTCAATGTCTACATCAGCCATGAGGATCATCATGGTATTAGATCTTAGCAAGACATTGATAAATTCAACAATATTCATTTCAAAAAAGGATGTTTTTTGAGTTAAGCTAAAAAGTTGGCATAAGATTGATAAATCATAAACTGTACAAGATATATTGAACATTTTACATGAATGATCAAGGGTAGTACAGTTTAGAAAACCATATCACATAAGTGATAAAATATACTTACATGGTTAGATAACTCTGGGTATAAACAACATCCAAGATATATGCTCAAATATCCATAGGACCCGAGTAGTGCCTAATGATTTATGATCATATGACAAGGACTAAGGTTTTACTAATCATGCTATATGACTTGACAACTACTTCACAGGAACAGACATCATTAATAACAGACTATAAAGCCCAAAATGTAGAAATAAACCACATAATAAAATATGAAAATATATAACCATAATGCATAATGTTAAGGACACATTAGTAATAATCTTGGTTAAAACAAATGATGAACATTCTCCATAAATGAAAATATAGTTGATCAGTGTTCAAATATGTTAGTCTTGTATGTAACTGTGAGATATGTATAAATGATCTTTAATCAACAAACCATCATACTAAAATAAATGATACAATGACACAGATATAACTACTCATAGCTTATAAGATTACAATATAGCATATGATGCATACAAAGGCAATAAGATCATGTGAAATCATAACTAACAAACATCTTCAAATAACCATATACATATACATATATAAAGTGTTGGGCAATATGCCCTCCAAAAACCATGCCATTTTGTTAGCAAATATTGTTATTGTGGTATATGAGAAAGGATTTATGAAATAAAGATTTAGGCATGTTCTCTTTCAAGAGATAGTGCAATACAGCCCCCCAAAAGTAAAAACATAAAAATAAGAAATTTCTAGACAGCAAAGAAAAGTCAACAGAATTAAGAGACAAATATATAGGGAAAAATTATAACAAAGAACTGGCATCCAGTGTATATAAGTAATTCAAAAAAGTGGACTTTACTACTAAACAGACATACACTAAACCATAAAATTGGTCAACTTCAACGGCCACCAGAGAAAGTTGGACCAGAACCAAAATCAAGTGTTATTTAACTCTGGAATGAGTTTCTTCAAAAAGAAAAATATATTCTGGCTATTTCGCAAAAATCAGGAAAATTTTGTATCATGTTGGTACAATTGTGAATTACTATAATCACTGTGGAAAGCAACATAGAGATTCCTCCAAAATGAAAATAGATATTATATATGATTACCCAATCGTATTACTGGGCATGTGCTCAAAGGAAATGAAATCTTTGTGCCAGACACTTGCACTCTTGCATTTACAGAAGGATATTTATAAAAGCTAAAATAGTGGATCAACTAGATACTTCAATGAATAAATGGATAAATTAAATAGTATTATACTTATATAGTAGAATACTATTCAGCCATGAGGAATGAAATCCTGACATTTGCAGCAACAAGGGCAGAATGGGAAATAATTATGCCAAATAAAGCAAACCAGACATAAAAAAAAACAAATAGCACATATGTTTCAGTCAGCATTGTAGAAAAAAAAGATGATCAGATGCAGACCCACATCCAAACACTAGGCAGAACTTGGGGAATCCTGCAGAAGAGGGAGAGGAAGGATTGTAGGAACCAAAGAGGTCAAGGACATCCCAAGAAAATCAACAGAATCAACTAACTTGAATTTATAGAACCTTACAGAGACTGATCTACAATCAGGGAGCCTGCATGGGGCTCTGCATATTGGTGACAGTTGTACATTGGTCTTCTTGTGGGACTCCTAACAGTGGGAGTTGGGGCTGGCTTTTTTACAGGCTTCTGTAACTCTACTCCTCATACTGCATAATCTTGCCCAGACTCAATACATGGGGAATTGCTTAGACTTACTGTAACTTGATATGCCATGTTTTGTTGATACTCATGAGAGACCTGCCCATTCCTGAACAGAAATGGAGGAGGAGAAGTGGATTGGGGATTTGGGGACAGAGTGGGTGGAGGAGAGGGACTGGGTTGAGAGGAGGGAGAGGAAACTGCAGCCAGGATATAAAAGAAAGGGGGAGCAGATGGAGCGGTGGTCATTAGATAATAGGAAGGGCAAGAGGAGAAGAAGAAAGATGATAATAAGGGACGTCAAGCCATGGAGAACCTTATTGTTTCCTATAGCACAGTAGGATAATCATACATTCAAACAATCTACATTATTTTCCCCAAATGACTAGACAAGTATAAAATTTCTATTACATAAATGATTAGTGGTTGATTATAAAGAAATTTTTATGATACTTTCTTGATTAGTATACATTATAAGAGTGGATCAAATAACATAATACATACACACAAAGATGTGCAAATGAAAAACATACAAAAACATGACACATAATTAAAACATGCAGTTGAATTACTGGCAGCAATGTGGATAAATTCAACATTGCTGAAGTATGAACTTAAAAATGGCTGAGATGATGCCAGACACGGTGGTATATGTCTTAAATCCCAACATTTGGAAGACAGAAGCAGGTGGATCTCTGTGAGTTTGAGACTAGCCTGGTCTACATAGATAGTTCCAGAAGAGCGGGCTAGGTAGAGAGAGACTCTCTCTCAAAAATAAGTAAATAAATAAATATACTATTTTTAAAAGATGGTTAAGATGTCACATTTTATGTGAAGGACTTTTAAGTATAATTAGGAAAAAACATAAGAAGCCTGTTAAAGTTAGCAAATATTCACAGAGCAGAACTCATTTCTGGTATTTGGATAGAGAAATGTTTCACATTAACAGGTAGCATTAGATGAGCATACAGCCAAGGCACACGCTCAGATAACATCACATATTAACAGAGAATGATTGTGGAAAAATAACCAAAATATTCATGATATATGTGGTGATGTTTTTCAAGTGAGCATAGTGAATACACTGAAAATTTTGAAATCCATGAGATATTTGGTATACTTGCCCTCACCATGATGATACAGGAACACAGTGTGTGTATCATGGTAACAAAACTTTGAAGTTAGGCAATATGATATAGGAGCAGATAGCCATGACAGTAGACCATTTTAAGACAGAAGCAAAAATTCACTGTCTATGAGTGGGCAGTCATGGTCAATTTTTTTTCACTAGAGCAGACAGCCAAGATACACATAGAAAGTGGCTGTAGTGTATAAATGGTATTTTTTAGGGCGAATAAATTCCTATAATGTATGAACA